TTAGTAAGATAAAATTCTAACGTTATTACTTTATAAAGACACTTTTCATTAAACATCTTGCTTTTATAGAATTTAAACATGTTAAATAGTGCGGGAGAAATTAAAGGCGAAGTAAATCGTTTTTTTTATAATGATTTAATATGAAACGTAGATCCCAAAATTTAATTATAAAAATCTTTATATATGATCATCACTATATCATCTGCACTATGTTTGTAAATCAACCGATAGGATACACCCCAATCAGTTACGAGTTGTCTCATTCAAAATATGTGAAAAAAAAAAAAAAAAAAAAGAGATATGACGCCCAGGAGGATTCGAACCTTCAACCTTCTGATCTGAAGTCAGACGCTCTGTCCGCTGAGCTATGGGCGCAACTTAATACAAACCGTTTTTTACTACTTAAGATGTTATTTTTTTGCTGATAGAAAAAAAAAAAATAATAATATAATATATTAGAACAAGTAGTAATGAAAACATGCGAATAACGAATTATTAAAGTGATTCTAATTTAACGATAAATCGATAAATAAATAACCAAAATTAGATTCGGTATATTTAATGTTTGGCGTATGTCTAAAAATAGTAATTACAATTACATACATGCAAATTTGTTAAAAATTACTTCATTGATAAAAAATATATATGTGTGTGAGAACAAAAATATGTTTTCAGTTAACGTTGAGCATGGATTTGTTTTATATATATAAAGTGATTCTAATTTAACGATGAATCAATAAATAAATAACCAAAATTAGATTCGGTATATTTAACGTTAGCCAAATTTGGTAAATATAGAAAATGTGAAAAAAAAACTTTAACAGAAATATTAACGTTTGGTGTATATCTAAAAATAGTAATTACAATTATATACATGCAAATTCGTTAAAAATTACTTTATAGATAAAAAATATATACGTGCGTGAGAACAAAAATATGTTTTCAGTTAACGTTAAGCATGGATTTGTTTTATATACTTCTATACTATATATAAAGTAACTCATACATGATATTCAAAATATGAAGTGGGTACAGAGATCTTATAAGAACACTACTAAAAATTTATGAACAATTACAAAATTATATCGAAAAAATTTTAGAAACTCGGAACTAATTAACCTTGATAAAATAAGCTTAGCACGATACTATATCCTCTTCATTTTAATTTAATTAATTATTAAAGTATAATTTTTTTTTTTTTTTTTTTGCAGAATGAGAACAATTTACTTGTAATACAGAACTCTCTAAAGTAGTGAGAAAAAAACAAATTTCAAATAATATATAGAATGTATCATATTACTATGCATAAATACAACGAAAACAAAATATAATTAATAGTGATAATAAAAATTCACATAAATAAATGTAAAAAAAAAAAAAAAAAAAAATGTTAACCAAAGAACAAAGAAATTCTAGAAATACTCGAGTAAAACAAAAATAGCAAAAAACAGAATATAAACGTAGATACTGTGCACAAAAAAAAAATGCTGCTAAAAGAATGAACAATTCTAATAAACAAAAGAAAAAAGAAACAAATCTAGATAAATATAATTCACAAATAAATAATAAAACAGAACATCTCTCGCAACATGACTTATCTTGGTGGAATGTGTTACATTCATTAAACGAAAGATCTTTAGCTCCATTAAATTTTATATGGAATCGTATATGTCCTCATTGTTCGGTAATTCTTCTTACTGGAGAATCATCAAAATTTTGTTGCAACGATGGAAAACAAATCATCCTGTTATTACTACCTTATCCTACAGAAATCAATAAAATTTTAAATAGCACGAATATTAGTATTCTTTCATAAAAGCTCAACACACTTTTTTCATTTACTGCGATCGGTGTACAAGGTCAATTTGTTAAAATTTCCGCACCATCTTCTGTTGGCATCACTGGATGAACTTACTATCACGTTTTACCAGCAAATACACCAAATCATTCGATACATCGGTATCTTTATGATGAACAAGAAAGACACCTTACAGCATATGGTTATAAAGCCCCGATGAATGGATAACAACTATACAAAATATGCTAATACAAATTAATCCTTATGTACATTCACTACAAATACTTAAAGATAATCCTTCAGATACTGCATTTTTAGAACTTCAAGAAAATACCTCAACTGGAGAAATAGCTGCTATTATGCATGCTAATAATATTATAAGTATACAACCACGAAGCATTATTATCTGGCATTATTCAAATTTGATACCCAAATTTGTGAATATTCTTAGTTCACAATATGAACCACTACAATACCCATTACTCTTTTCTCATGGAACACTGGGATGGTATCCTAATAACTATTATGAATTTTCACAAATTGATTAGTATCGCTCCCGTTTGTTGCGTGAAGAAAAATTCCTGATATTAGGAAGATT